TTTAAGGTTGAGAAACATCCCATTTCTAGTTTTATATATTATCTCCGCAATCGGAACCACTGGCTTGCTCTCATCCGCCGATAACTCAAAATTATGCAGTATATTGGCCAGGGTAATCTTCATTTCATTCATAGCAAAGTTCTGACCAATACAGTTTCTGTAAAAAAAAAACATAATAATGGTCATATGATCGAGTATGATATAGTGTTAGTAAACGTATAATCTTTACAGAATTTAAATAATAGACGAGTATTAATTATACTATACAGATCTGTATTTGTGTATAATTTTTATTTGGATCACTGACTATCGACAGTCATATGAGTTACAGCTTGAATTCTTACATTATCACTTAGTACTTTGAACATCATATTTTGTTCCGCCAATTTTCATATTTTAAGATGTTTTCAATATTTTTATTATTTCTTTATTAATTTTGAAACAATGAACATACTTGGCTGTAGGTCTTGATCAAAACCTTTTAAAAATATTGAAACAATTATGCAAGTTAACTTTGCTAATGGTGACAATTGATGACTTTGGTATTGGAGGGGTTAATGTATAACGTAAGACATTTTTGTTCTTATATGCAATATATGCTGAAAACAGGCACTATAGGTGTTATCGTCGCACATGTGTGAAGTCAATCTACATAACCACTTACCTTGGTCCAGCTGAAAAAGGTATGAATGCATGTGGTGATCTCAGTTTGACCTTTTCTGGTAAAAATCTAGATGGGTCATACACTTCCGGATTTTCCCAGACAGAATTGTTATGGTGAGTGGCATAAACATTGATGGATGTCCACATTCCTATAAATAAATGACTGTTATGCGCACGTCTTATAAGGCATATATACGTATGCGAATACATCTATAAGTTCAGGATGGATAAGAGCGATGTACCGGTATATCCAGGATTATAGTTGTATTTCCGGTAAAACTTACTTTAAAGACCTTTAAATTTTGAGTAATTTTGCAAAAAAAATCAAATCTGAAAAATACGGCGTTCGTAGGTTACACTAATTGAAAGCTAGTTTATGGCGTACTATTCTTTATCATTACAATACATCTTATGCTGCATTGTTGTTGACTCACGCTTCGGGAACCCGTTAAAACAAAATCAACACGAGAAGTACGTAATGTTCGAAGTTCATCCGGACGCATTTGGCAACGTGAGTAAAATAGTCGTCATAGAAAGACGAAATTAAAGGAAGGAACTTAAATGACAATACAAGACACAATGCATGGATCTGGTGAGGATCTCTTGTGTGATCTTATGGGAAAATGTTTCACATGGAATATTTATTTTGTAATATAGCCCATCTATCATCGTCGAACAGTGAATCTCGTGTGCTATTTGGTGATTTGTTGTCACCCTAAGATGCTGAAAGCTTAATCACAACAGAATCTACGAAACTGGCGATGTTCAGCTATTGGCACGAAACTACTAAATGCGCTTCAAATTATAACGTCTATGTATTTCCGAGGCAATAAGGTACTGATTTTTTTTGCCTGATTTTAATATCGTAATAATGAAAAAATGTCTTGACAGCAAACATGTTGGCTGACAAAACAACGTTTATAGTTTGCAACAAATCATACCGTTTTATTTGAAGCATGATAACAAATAATGTAAATTATCCACATCGCCTCTTGAAAGAAATAAAACGTTGAGGCGTAATTTTACTTACCAGCTGGTAAAGATGTTCCATCCGGGAAATGAAGCGGTATAGTCAATTCTCTGCTGTGATTGAGAACTGGCGGTGTTATACGCAGACTTTCTTTGATGCACATTGTCAAGTACGGAAAGTTATTGAGGTCATCCCTGCAAAATGAATGCAATTAATTTACTCATTATCAGAGACTGTACATACAACTGCACGTTGTTTCAGTTTTTCTGGTGAAAATATAACATTACAAATGAAATCAATAATCAAACACACTCAGGATATATGAAGACAAAATAAGACTGGTTGGCACTTTATAAAAAAGATCTGTCATTTGAAGTGCCCAGTGCTTGGTCAGAAAATTGAGCGATGCGTCACCAACCATGACAGGTCCGCATTTGTCTTCTTTGCAAAGCAGTCGTCAATTTCTGTTTGGCATTTACGTTGGTGATGCGCATGTTTGGCTAGATTGTACAGACACCATGATATACCGCTAGCAGTTGTGTCATGACCCTCAAACATGAATGTGTCGACTTGATCTTGGATTTCTCTATCAGTCATGCCATTGCCATCTTCATCCTATGAATATACGAGACATACGATCATCCTTAGTCACACCCCGCAAAACCATCACATTCAATATTTGTTTTATAACACCAATAATTTGAAGGGCGGTGGTCGTCGTGCATTCAAATATCGTTTCAAGAAACAATACATTCTACACGTGATCTACACGTCCACGAGACCCATATTCAACATGACATGATGTCACTACCTTTGCAGACAGAAGTATATCCAAGAAATCGATGTACTTTCTCGTATTTTTAATGCCACTTCTTTGTTCTTGCTGTAACGCACGTCTTCGTTGCGTGATGACACTGTGAGAGTGTGAATGTAGGATGTCTAATGTCTTTCTCCACTGTCGACCATTAGAACTCAGGTAGTAAATGACGTCATTGTAGTGGAACATGTTAAAGAACCGTTTAGCGAATAATTGAGAAGCGGAATATACGGATCTGATGTAGGGATTATTTTCTCTGGAATAAAAAAATACGTTTTAAAGCGCAGTGGTCGTCGGGCAGTACATGCGTGTTTGAATTTCATGTAAACAAACAATATATGTCAGTTTTACACGCGTTGTGTACGTCGCTGTGGGACACACACCGAACACATGCATTTGTTTTTCAGATTAATGACAACATTGGGTTGCGTTATGATTGCTTTGAATTTTAAGACAGAACGTTGAAAAAAGTCACTGTGCCGTGACGTGTCTGGTTTGGGTCTCATGCGACGTCTACAATGAATGGGGAATGTTTTTTTTACATGAAATCTGACCGCACGGTGTGTGACGTCAACATCGATTGAAGTAATGCACCATGGGAGTAAAATAGCAAACCCCTTACACACACAGCTTCATTGTGAAAGAATAAAGTCGAGAATATAATTTGACAGAATGTGACATTGATATTATTGGTTGCATATATGGAAATTATAATTCTGCGTTGACGGTGTCGTACTCACTGGCGTTGACAGTCGCCATCTTGGCTGAATACACAATTCATCAAACAGTCTAATGTCAGCAGACTCACGTGGTGAAATACGTCGACGGAACCTTCTTGTGATTGCTCGTGCCATTTGGACTGTTAGTATAGAATACATAACGTTAGTTTGTGTCATGTTGATCACAGTTAACCTAAATGACCTACAATTTGACAGTATGACAGCATTAATAATTAATTCCAACAGATTTAAGGTTGGAACATTTGAGTAGATGATCCGCGTAAAATAAATACCTTAAATTTATATGCAAACATTTTCCAAGAAAAAAAATATATCTCACGCCGAGCTGGTATACATTGCCACCAGATTAAAAGTAAGACCCATTTCTCGGTATCAAAAGCATGAAACATTAACAATACTAGTGTTTTTGTTGGTATTTTTCATTTATATACAGGTTTCCACCGAAATGCACCAAATTACAAATGATCTCTGCACAAGAACACCAACAAATAACCAATGAACATTAGTTTTTCTACAATGTTTTTCTAATTTTATAAACAGCATCGCACATATTATCATTGCATAACATTTGTTATTTGGCAAAACATCGGTAGCAGAAACCACTCTGCATGTTCCTAGATTTAGGAGAACATTTATTAGCTTCAAAACGTTAAAGCCTGGTAACGTCTCAGTTTGTACTCGTTGATCTGCACAACAGACAAAGTCGCCATCTTTGTTTATATGAGTGAGACCCATATATCTCGCGCATGCGTGGCGCGACGACTACCGCCCTTAAATAATTACCACCATCATCCATGCAATCAAAATTGTTAGTCAGCAAACTTGAAAACAATACAGAAAACTTATTAATATTAAAAGAATACACTTGATTAATGTTAAATTATTAATAATAAAATTATAATAGAACATTATTACAGTCCTGACTACGTCACTCCAAAATACTGACACCCGAGGGCGAAATTAATACAGCAGACTTTCAATTTCGATAATGATTACAGATTACAGGGCACGTTATCCGTTAAGAGACATTCAGACGTTCTTACCAACAGAACTTTGGAACAATCATTGAATATTTTGGCATATGGTTTTAACACGTCAAAGTGAAATCCTGGCGTCAACAATTTCCTGTCTCTGGCCCATTTACTCCCATTGCTGATAAGTAATCCATCTCCCAGCCACGATTTTAGCATGCCATAACCAAAATCATCTTTTGGTTCTGAAAAGAAATGGCATTATATTTAATGCATTGAGTTTATTTTCTGGAAATTTGTTTTTTCTCATTAACCGAAACGTAGAAATTCTGCAAAACGTTTCGGCACGAATATTTGGTCGACGAAGTGTGAAAAGTATTGCGAACTTTTGCCCATTTCTTACTTCTAAATATGTTTTCTACTATTATACATTTTCTATATCAACTCACTGATTACACGATGAGGAATCACAAAATTTATTGGACAAAAAGAAAAAGGAAACAAACATTGAATTACTTTATGTTTTGGAGCGTTTCATTACATTTTTTTTTTTTTTTAACCCAAACATACTTTATTTTCCCAGAAGATTCGCATTCTCGTAGCTACTGCATGAGATTCAGAAGAGACAAAACATTCTATTTACGAGATCTTGAGAGTGGCAACGTTTTTTGTTTTTTTTTGCAAATCTCAATAATGATTTAATTTTTGCTTCTCAAATTACAGTCATAGGTACTTCCCACAAACGTTTGTATTTTTGAGAATGTTTAAATCATAATGTTCGATATTGCATACTAAATGTACTCATATATGTTTTTTTGATTAAAGCGGAAGGGTCGTCACCTGTGCATGCGCGTGAATTGAGTCCCACGCGACGATAACAACGCATGCTAAAACGCAAAGGTTCATGGGTAGACGCTTGTTTGTAAACAATGACACGCTATGGCCATCTAACGCATGCGCAGGTGACGACTCCCCCGCTTTGAACTTGTAATAAATACAATTTGAATATTCATAAAATAATACTGACCAGCTGTTGAGAGTAAGGCTTTAACTGTGGTCGGATGTGAGCACACATATGAAGCATTAAACGGACCAATCCATACAACAAATCCTGGCACGTGTTTAGAACCCCACTCCGCTGACAGGTCCAATGAACGCTGAGTTTCTCAAACTGTAGAGAGGAAAATATCAATGTCTTACTCTATTACTCTGAGTAGAATACCACTTGTTAAGTGTGCAAACCTTTCTCGCATATTCCTAATTTAATATTTCTATTCGTTATTATTATTCCTATTTCCAAAGTGCAAGCGCACTGCTTTTTTTTTGTTAACTCGTCCAGTGAATTCTGCTATGTTTACTGAAGAAATAATATTTATAATTTTGCAACTGAAACATTCACTTTAGTGATTTTGTTTTGGTGGTAGAAATATGTAATTCTATAGCTAACATTTGAAATTTGTCACGTGACCAGTGTCTAATAAGCGCCCTCTATGGCATGGCGTTGTGTTCCGGCTGGTCTATGTTTTCTTTGTGGGTCCAATCTGACATGACATGACCTGTTACACTAAATGAGTATGTCGTAATAAAAATATGTGGGTGGCCTCAATACTGAACCCCAGGTCAGTGTTTCTGATGTACGGTTCAATGACCTGTCACTAATGAGTTGATAATTAATCTCAAAGTCATTGAACTGTGTAGCAATAAGCGCAAGTTGTATCAACTGGCACACTGCTAGGTGAAAGTTCGTTGTTTATGGCATGGTCTATATTTAACACAGTTAAAGCGCGGTGGTCGTCGCGCAGCGCGTGTTCGAATTTCATGTAAAAAAACAAAGTATTTTACACGTGTTGTGTACGTCGCTATTAGTCCCATATCGAACGCGACGCGGTTCGACGACCACCGACCTTGAATACAACTTCGGCCATTGTCAGTTATACAAGTATCGTAGTAGTGAAAGTAGTAGAGTAGAGAAAACTGTGCATACATTCAATATGTTGTATACGAGTTAAGCAATTAAGAATTAATCTCAAAATATCAATTGAGCAGAAGCCAAAATAACATGACATTTGAATCACAAGTGGTGTTTTACTCACCAAATGCAAATGTCCAAAAAGCCAATGTCTAGGCTCTGTTGGGAAACCGGAAAGTACTTCTTCCAACCACTTTCTTCTCTTGAACCCCTCAACGATTCGAGGTCCAAATGTCAGTAGAACCACAAGAACCAGGGTTACTAAAACCAATGTCCACGAGTCGAAAGGAAGAGACATTGTTTGTGTCAGTTCACAATCACATTGCGTATCCCATTTGTGACAAAGCTGTGACACCTTTCCAAAGGTCAACTGTTCAAAGTACAATGTGAACTACGCCACGATCGTTCTTTGTCAATATTAAGGATGTGTAGCAAATGTTACTGCACACTCAGCACTCCGAACACATTTTGTCTACTTGCTCAGTACGCTCCTTTCAAGAGAGGTTGCCGGGTGTATGGAAACGAAGACCCTGGAAAACGAAGACCGAAGACTAAGACCTAGAAAACGAAGACCCTGGAAAACGAAGACCCTGGAAAACGAAGACCCTGGAAAACGAAGACCATGGAAAACGAAGACCCTGGAATGTTCCTATGACGCCAATGATACACGAAATTCGTCCAATATCGGGCATTTACTTTCATTGTGAACTAACTTCCCGTACGAAATTCTTCATAATAAATTAAACTAACTATTTTTAATTGTGAAATTACAACGTATGGAAAACGAAGACCCTGGAAAACGAAGAATTTGGAAAACGAAGACCCTGGAAAACGAAGACCCTGGAAAACGAAGACCATGGAAAACAAAGACCCTGGAAAACGAAGACCATGGAAAACGAAGACCCTGGAAAACGAAGACCATGGAAAACGAAGACCCCGGAATGTTCCTATGACGCCAATGATACTATCCCACATGCGGTTCAGACGCTATTTCAAATAGAAGTTTCAAAAAAGTGCTTCAAAAGAAACTGAGATAATGGCCGGTTTGCATAATCGGCACGTCGTTGTGGGAACATGCCAAATTGCGGTCACTTTCACAGTCGCTGTTACAATATTTACCAGCTCACATGATAACTATGACATTATGAAGGATAACTGACAAATTAGATAAATGTACGGATAATATGAGAATAGTCGCACTTGAAAGTGCGTTCCGAGAAGTATCATTCAGCGGCACTCTGAATGTTCCCGTTATATTGACGGAATCAATGCATGAACAAACAGGGGGCGGTACTTGCATAAATTATATGTTGTGCGAAAGTGACCTCGAAGCCAGGGTACAACGCATTTACATTCTCATCCATAATATCGAAGACACTGCTCCAAATCGGAAAATTTATTGGGTTATTTATATTACAACCAGTGTTACAAAACCGCGGTAAACTGTGCACAAAATCACAACACGCGACCCCTACCACCGGAAATGGTACTGTTATGAAACTTTTGACTCTTATTTAATTTACATATCATCTGTCAATCAGGAACCGCTAAGTGGCGTGAATATGCAAATCATCCCTCAAACATAAACAAAACGTAAACAGCACTTCATAATAATAGTTTAACTGTGTTTTAAAGTTGGTTTTAATGATTAAAGCAAAAACGGTCAAAAATGAGAAAAAAACTGCATCTTATCCTTAATTGTCTTTGGTTGTCTGTATGAAATTGTAATCTATAAATAAAGTGCGTGATTAAAATTTGTAACTATACATGCGAATATATTCAAAGTGCAAGTACTTCTAATAAGCACCAAATACCAGTATACGTATTGGAACCGGGAAGGTATTTCTATTGTCTTCGAGGGCTACAATTGAATTACATCCTCGTGTTGGAGTATATATGTTTGTAGTGAAATTAAGTATATCACGTTATTGAACGAGTTCGCAATTAAATTAAGTACATC